ACTCGCGAGTTTACGACTAAGTATTCAATGGATCACTGTGTATTATACAATTACACATAATTTTATGTATTGTATTCTAAAGTTCTCAACGATCCTAAATTACTCGATTTTCACTCAACATACTTAGAAAATTATTTATAATTTATAAATATGTATACACAACTTTGAAGTTTATACATTTATATAACATACATAATAATAATAAATAATAATTTGTGATACGGATGTAAGTCTCATCTGTATATTGTAATACTTTAATAACGATTTTGTACGAATTTTTCGATTAAAGAAACATCTTTACAATACGATATAATATACATAGGTACGACGTATAGATTGGCAACATATTATTTTTGTGTATCGCGTTATTTTCGTGCAACTTGACAGATAAACGATCCGAACGATATTTAAATATTTTGAATATGAAATCGTATTAGGAACATAAATATAAAAATAATAATGTATACATTATTTATATAGGTATTATTATTATGTTCTTTCGACTCACGACGATATAGTACATTATAATATTACGAATCTACGACCCACCACAAGTGATTGAGAAAAATAAAAATCTTTGCACACATCCTTATAAACAAATATGTTTGAGTGGGTCATCCAATATAATCACACACACACTCACAGGTGTATTATATATTTTAATATTATTAAATATTCAGTCATTCGTCGTGACTTCACACACAACCTATAAATGAAATATTTTAGGAACAGGTTTATTGTATATAGCTGCAGGTTTATGTGATGTTATACACGCCAAAAAGTGATAGGCATTGAGTACTGAGCAATAATGTCTTATGTACTATTCTAAGTACAGTGTATAATAATAATTATAATATTAAAGTGCCAATCGATCGATTGTCGTGCTCAGCTCGTATTTATATTGGTGTGTACATATTATTATTATACATACTACATGCGGTACTAATAATTTGTTTGAGTGACCAATCGGTCGTCGTACCTTATAACCTTCCACCGGTAAATCCGCTCACAAATAGTCTACAATACACTATACTTACTATATAGGTTTAAGCGTATGAATGGTGTACTTATGCCTTTACATTTCTGCGGCTTTCCATTATTGTATTTATTATACTGTCGCTCGCTTGCACCTGATATCTCGGTCTTGGCTTTCATATAAATTCAAATTAATAACGACAGATTACAGATTTCCAAACGCGTAAATACAATACTTTACTATTCGTAACAAAGGTAGCTTTTACTGCTGCAGTGTATGTATATATATATATATAACATTATATACGTATGTGTAATAAACAGTAATTATTAGTGCAAGTAGCAGCTGTTTTTTCAAGACACGGACGGTCGAAGATTACTGCGTCGGTCCGACCGAATTGTTCTTTCCCCCCGCGGTCTACGACGGACTGAATAATAAGGTACAATATTATGTATATAATATAATGCATAGCGATCGAATCGAAACATAAAATAATATCACTTAAAAACAAAATTAAATACTATACTTTCGACTCCACGGCGCACTCGTCCGAGATCGTATAGTATCCGCAGTGACCCGTATATAATAACTTCAAACTAAACTCCTATTTTAAGTCACACACGGATTTCGGGCGTTTAAAAATACCTGGCCTTGTTTAAATTTGTTTTTATTTGTATGTACACATGTGTGGCAGACGATAAGTCGAGGACTTCTAATACCGGCTATAGATATACCATGTGTATATACTATATATATGCGCTAATAATCTAACATTATCTACCTATTTATGTTATATTATTATTATAATATTATATTGTCTTATGGGAACAACGAAAACACACACGCACCGACTGCAGGCCACGGTCACAATTGAATGGGGAAAAGAGTATATATAATATGCATTATAATGCGTAATTATTTTATTTATGTATACATATAATACGCTGCGATGTATATATAAGCAGGACCCACGGAGCACAAAATATAATAAGTGTGCCACTAGGCTATGTAATATAGAAAAGTCCACGAACCACGTGTTGTATAGTTGTTGAACATATATATATAGGTACATACATTCAAACAAATTGTATAGGTTCCTACTCCAGGCGGCGTGTATATATATGCTAATGGGAAGTATGGTCTTCTTTTTTTCGTAGGTATGGGAAATGTCAAGAAAAGGTTTGTGCAACGTATATCGTACGCTTAACCACGGTGTAAATACGAGCGTATATGCACATTGCACGCGTGTGCGTATGTGTGTTTTAGGCCAATTAGTGGTTAACGATTAACCTGAAATGAAAAATGGCAGAAAAATAATGTGGTGCGCTGACGACAAAACTGCCGCTTGCAGTGTTATGATAATGATAATATACAGTGAAAGCAGCAAAATGATAAACAACTATGCACTACACGCTGCAGAACAGTGACAAAACGGTATACCTATATTTATACATACATACAAGTGGCACATTCCGCCAGACGATTATAATGCATACAATATAATGTGCTACGTCCATTTGATGATCACCCCGCCCTCCAACAGTCGAGAATGTGTATATAATACCTAAATAATAATAATGGAACAATATATAGGTATTTATGCGTGATTACTGGTGATGCTGTAGCAGAATCCTTTGCACCGTTATCGTCGTATCCTAACAATACGTATGATATTATACCAACAACAGCAGAAATGTTCCACCGCAAAAAGGTCACCGATGACGACGGGGCATTAAAGTCTCCCGACGATGACGGACTGCGAGACGCGACGTGATAGATGACGCGGGGTTCACACATAACACTGCAGTATTTATACACATATAGGTAGCACATACACACGCACGCGGTACATCATGTAGGTACGACGTGTTCGTGTGTGGATATATGCGTTTTGTGTTCGTACTTATCGTGTGTATACACATTACACCGTGTAATTAACCGCGAGGGCACCATTTTACACGTTATATAGGAGCCCTCCGTGTATAATATTGTACGCACATAACCTCTTCGCGATTCCACTCAACAGCTCGTAAATAATATCGTTCGTTATAAATACAACATAATATCATCTATACCGTCTCTCATAATAATAACATAATCGTAGTAACAGCAGCCAGTGCGGCTGGTATTCCGGCCGACTTCAGGTAGCCGCTGGTCAAAACAGTTATTTAAAATCATCAGTCATGGGTGCGTTCCGTGCCGTAATATTGCGTACCTGCAGTATAGATATATACACGATAGGTATGTATTGTAAAAACGCATGCAGTGGCGGTCGAGTCTGTAATACAGGTACATATTATATATATATATACACACCGTGTATATAATATATAATGTTATGTATGTGATATAATAATGGTATCGTCTCTATCACTGCGGGCGTCGTCGTGTCGATATAAATAATATTATACATAATATTATATCGTATGAACGTTATCTGCAGAGCATGTAGGACAGACGATGGATACGAATGAGCTCGCCGAAAGCCTAATGTACCTATATATCTATATTTACGAATAATGCGCCAAGACGGCCGCGGGCTCGGTTCCGAAAGTTTATACGAGACCGATATAATATATTATATGCATCGCGATACATAGCGACGCGCCGACGCACGTGCCTACTTAGGTACTGTAACGTTTTATGCTTATAATGCTTGTATATTAAAATACGTTGGATAAAAAGTCGAGTTGGGTTATAACTTGTAAGTATAATATGCACATAGTATGTTGCGCATCGGTTTAATTTATTCCAAATAGGGTACTTATTATCCATATCATATAGGTATTATACATAATATACATATGTAATCTGTGTGTATAAATGCTCACAATAATAGTTAATATAATAATACACAAAATAAACGTTGACCTCATTGCGTATACGACGGCCATCACAAACTTTGGGTCTACGGGTGTACACATATGTACACACGTACGTTATAATAATAATATCTGACGGTCTGTGGTTACGGTAACTAATAAATAACATGGTGCACACATCACACACACGAACGCATGTACACACGCAGACCTATCATATCGAAACAATTTACTCGATATATATTATGTATATACTCACGACCATGATCACAAGGCACACACACACACACACACACACACACACACACACACACACACACACAAACAATTCACTGGCCAATTTAGCCCCATCCCGCAATTTGCCACCGCGGCAGTCAGATAGGTAGGTATAAATCTACTCTGCTATTATAGGTGGGACTACGCGTCCAGCTATTCAACGTGTCCGAAAGCATTAAAATTGTATAACTGTCAGGTACTCACCAGAGTGTATAATAATAATAATATGCAATTTTTACGACGAGCTAAAAAACGAGTTCCAATCAATAAACCAACCTACCTATCGTTTGTGATTAACATTCTATCGTGTTGTAAACCACACCACCATACCAATTGTAAAATGGCATTACATCTACGGCACATTGTATAGGTACATACTTTGATAATGCGAAGGAAAAAAAATTGAATATTTGAAACAAATGCAACACAATTCAACCATTAATTTTACAAAACAATGCACCACCGGTCAAACCTCAAGTTCTGTGTTTCAACAGCGCTGAAAACCACGTTATAATAATAATGTATATAATATTCACCGTATATACAGGTGCAGCGTTTTTCTATTTTGTATAGGTACATTCTTTAAAACGTGTAATGAACTTTGTGTACACACGATTTCGGGGATTTGGTTATTCAAAAATAATTGTAGGTGTATTCAGTGTTATATTAAAGTTTGTAATTTTGTTTTCGAAACGTACGTAGGTATATGGTATATCAAAATATCCGAAATGAAACGTTTGATAATGCGAATTAACGATTTCGTGAACACTGACGGCAGTATTAACATTTGACCTTGATGCTGTGCAGCCGCAATCACGTTGTTATTATTCTATTTTACGCGTGTACACAACATGTATTATAATATCAACACTATGATATTATATATATATATATATATATGTACAATATAACATATTGGTTCTTACCTGGACACGGTGGAGATCTTCTCCTCTGGCCTGACCCCGTTGGTCTTCGCCACGTTCCTGGCGATCCCATCTGCAACAATAACACAAAATCATAACGAAACTAATTCACTGGACTATAATACAAATAGTAGGTATTTTTGGTTGGAATATAATATTATCTCGTCTAAAAGCTGCAGGAGCTGTGTGTCGGTGTGCCCGATCATCGTAATATATGTATTATGCCTGGAAGAAGACGTCAAGAAATGTCTTCGTGTCTTTTGTTATAATTCGTATTATTAGTTATTATAATATTTGCATCACATGCGACCATCGGTCATCGGAGGAGCTCGACCTCCGTCGGAAATTCAATAGGTACAGCGGCGTAGATAAAAGGTGACGCCGATAGTATTATTGTTATATTACCATGTATACGCGTGTAAAATAATATAATATTATACTATTAATTATTATTATTAGTGTTGTAGAAAGCGCATGCGGCGGGTTCGCCGAAAGATAATATGATTTTGCCGGTTTTGGCGCATAATTCGTGGGAACGTCCGGGACAAATATCACGAAGAAAGGACGAGAAGGAGAAAAAATCTGCTACACAAAAAACAATAGGAATTACAAAACTGCAACACACACGCGCGAGCTAGGGTTTTGCATTTCTCCGGGGCCGGAGATGGGCGTCACTGTTTCACGGGAAAACAATGCGGCGGTGGTCCGGCTGTTGTAATCAAGACCGTATTATGTATGTATATAATATTATAATGATAGAGATATTTACACGAAAACAATTACAAACGTTTAGAAACGTTAACTCGTACTTAAGTGTCTAATGTCTATGTATATTGTATATTATATATTTAGGGATCGGCTGCTGGAGTATAGACGAAGGCTAGAAATTGATTATAGGCACCTGATGAAATATCTTTAAAGTGCATACGTTTTTAATGAATTTCAGGTAGGTACACGTGTAAGTGCGGAGCGAATTACAAGGCCCTACGAGTTGAAAGATTCGAGTGGGGTGTTTGAGGAGGCTTATCGTCTTAGTCCCCTCAAATAATTTCCAGGACCTCGAGCAAGTTTTAAAGTTTGACGAGTGTTAGTTATTAATGGAAATATTATTGGAAGGGTTTGTTTTTATTATTTTTTGTAAATTGGATTTTACTTTGTTATATCCTTTGAGTCAATCATTTTATCTCCAGCCAACGTTTGGTCCCATTCTATTTTATTACAGGTATTCAATCAAAATTGAAACGAATCATCAACACAATTTCGATATGAATATGCTGTCATATAAATAATAGTTATGACTGTAGATATTAGGTATTTTAGTATTATATATATAACCATAAAATATATCATGAACTACGTCTTAAATGTTGGTGCCAATTATTGTTTGTATGGTAAGAATAATTAACATCTGTAATTATCTGGGAAATGTTCATATAATACATATTATACTGTTGCAATATTATATTATTGTACTTTTAAAACCAATTTGGTCGATTAACGTTGCGTATTATTTTAACTGCTGATCCGTGATATACATATTATTATACACTTGAACATATTTTCTTAAATATATAGAAGCGGTGCGACGGGTTTTGTTTTTCTGCTCACTCTGTTGACGCCCAAACTTGGGTAAAATCTATACTCCTATGTACTCTCGCTGCTGCAGACTCACTGGATAAAATCCGGGACCTAACTCGGATGCAGCCAAGTAATTATCCGGTAAGTACAAATGAAATGGGGCACCGCGAGGTTCTATAAAGGTTACCCACACTTCGGCCAGTCCAAACCTAGGTATATAATTATTATCGAACAGACGTTTTCGCAGAAGTTCGGATGAGATCCACACGCCAAACGTCCGATGAGATTTCCTTTGCCATATAATATACCTATACCGGAATAATGGTATGATATACGTGTAGTGTAGTAAGCTGGTCCAGTGCGAAACGTTTCAAAAGCGATCAAAAGTAAAAGCGGTGCTCCAGTTAGATATTATAAACTACCTATACACTTACTCTTGGCGGCTGCGTGACGCTGTATAACACTAGTACATTATAAAGTCTTGTAAGCGGTACATAAAGGGTGGTCATTTTAAGCTGCAAACACCAATTATCTCGAAACGTGTTCGTTTTGTTTGAATAAAAACATATTCTTTATGAGAATGTTCTAACATTTCATGATAATGTATATAATTTGTTTGTTTTTCTATATTTTTTAGTCGTTATAATTCTTAGTTATTTTGTTTTTAAATCATCTACGATACGCATATTTTGTTATTGTATATTCCTAAGTAGAATAATTTTCTACCTATGCTAGCATTAAAATGAGAAAAAACTTAAAAATGTATAATGATAAAAATGGTAAAAATGTAGGAATACTAACAGGACAGATTTGCATTTGCGTTTTAAAAAGTGAGCTGATTACGACATTACGTTAAAATGATTGGTTACTATCAAAAGAATCACCCGATATATAAATATGTACATTCGTAAGTATACAATATAATATAATAATATCGTTAAGGTACACTAAGCTAGTTAACTTATATGTAATATCGTGTGCACGACGACGATTTAGCGTGCAGATGCTTATGGGTCGGAGTTTACATAACACCACCCGCCGCCGTCGTCGATTAGCAGCACCCGATAAGTCTCGTGCTCGTGTCAACGTAAATCTCTTGATCAGATATAACAAATATAATAATAATATTTTTAACAATAATAGACACCGCAGGATGTACATACAGTCGCACGTGGAGCTTTAGCCAGACCTTAGTGATATGATATTTTATAATACAATATGTATATACCTACATCATGGTATATTCACATCAGACCTTACGATATTATAGTCTGTGGTATACCGTACATTGTATCATTTATTCCGTCTGTGTCATTGTCGTCGATGAGATAGATATTATATGAGATATTTAAAAAGGAAAAACCTATGTGGCCGAGCGATCAGTGGAGGCGAGCCGAACGAGTGGAATGAGTTGCAGCGTGTGTAGAAAACGATTAGAACTGTGAAAAAAAAAGAAAAAGAAAAAAAACTATAAAAAGTATTTTTGGTCTTTCTGTCTTTTAATTCGCCGGTGTCACCATCGTCGTCGGTGCGAACGACGTTATCTAAATTTTGAGGTTTTACTTTTCTATATATTACTACTATTATAATTATACATCTATACACATCCTGTGCCTACATATTATAATTTAGGTAAAACATGTACGTCGTCGCATGGACCTGCGTCAGTGGAATGTAGTCGATCGATCTGTCACGGTGTTACTTGGATCTGTGTATATCAAATTGGTAGAGGTAGGTACACCGATCGCTTCCGGTTTACGCGTACACAAAGGATATTGCCTCGCAATCGTCTTGAAACGATTTTATAATAATAAATAATATATACACAGAGCATCGGAACGTCGCGTCGGCCACCGCTGTTTTTCTTCTAGTTTTCCGACTCCACTTTTCGCAGCGATTTCGGATGTAGAGGCTTAAAACAGTGTGCGTGCGATAGAAATAAAGAGAGAGAGAAATAGATGGAGAAAGATAGTTAAAGACGGGTGTGCGTGCGATTCGTTTTATCGCGTCCGCAACGACGTCGTTAGTATAATAATACGACAAGAGTAAAGGTATACGAACGCATCACTGTCGTCATGCAGTTTTTTATTCGCGATATTCGATTCATAATGTTATTGAATTTTTCCCACAGCGGGCAGCTCATAACATAATGTTGTTCTTCACTCTACACGTAAAAAACTAAACGTTTCACCCGACTCGCCTTTAAATACCGACTTGCGATAATCCGAGCAAAATAATACGAAAAAAAACTGAACATTTCAACGAGCCTCCGTGTTCATCGTTTATACGGGCGGTGACCGTCGCGATTAGTAGCTGCACCAGTTTGTAGTAGTTATAACCAGCTGTACATGATAATCGAAATTGATAGAGAAAAAAACCCTCGATTCGAAACACGGGAAATAAACATTTCCGTTGTGTTTGGGATGACGAACACGTTTGATTTCGCACGGCGTTCGACAAAATTCAAACAATAAGCGCTCATCGGTCGTAGGTAAACGCATCACAAATACGTATGTATATATATATATATATTATTTTGTAATAGAACCGCATATCATTCTGCGGATGAAAAATCTAAACAAATAAAACCCACAGATGAATTCAAAAATATTTATTTTTTCAACCGCCATAATAATATTATTACTGTCCGTACAATTTATGCGGTATTCTCGAATTTCAAAGACGTCAATTACCCGAACAGTACAGTTATATCTTGTATACAAAAATGTGATAGTAAACAATATTTGGTTCCTAAATGAACAAAGCGAAACACGAAATCATATAGACATTTTATACGAAAACGACATAACACGCGTAAGATGATATCCCGTTTATTTCCTTTAAACTGTGGGAAAATGTTATTGTGTAAAATATATTATCAGGGTTTTATTTCACTTTTATATACATTTGGGTAATATGTGCGTTATTTCACGAGTTCAGCCCTTTCGCTGTGGATTATAATAATATTATACCGAAGACGAACGATGTCCAAAACGCATTGGAATGGAATATTTTATAAATAAGTAGTGGCCATGGAATGTGTGTTGGACGGGTGTCCTGCAGCACCTCGTAATTCGTTCGAAATCACCTAAGGCCGACGCGTACCTATGTATATGTTACAATAATATAATAATTATTAAAGTGCGATCTGCATAGGATCGGACAATATCAATATACCTATACCGTGGATGGATATTAAAAACGTTTGAAATCATCGTCAAATTACGTAGGTATGCAAATAAAATAGGTAACTATACGATGTTTTAGTGATACACACAAACTATTGACTTGATAATCATTACGACTCATACGCATGTATGTATAATAGGTACATATTATTTTGAATATAACGGAGTTTTAATATTGTATATTATTATTTATTTGGGTTTGAAAACACGCAAGTTATTACATATTATTATTGTGTCTTTATAGATATTATTAAAATCACGGGAAATCGCTGATTCAGTTGCAACTAAATATTATAATAATAATATA